AATAGTAATAACATAAGCAGTAAAAAATTAAAATTAAAATAGTACTCCTCTGATCCTAAATATAGAACCTATTTTGTAGTGTAAATATAGGACCCATTTTGTAATACTAAAAGATCATCAATATAAATGAGGAGGTTATCAAGCATAGATTCAAAGATTCTGATTATGGCCTTTTAGAACAGTGATGGGGCAACTTTGAGCCCAAATGGCATAATAGTTGTGATGATGATGATCATGGTTTGAAGCAGAAAGCTAGAAACTGGAAGATTCCTGTGTCTACTGTTCCTTCTAGCAGATTATCTTTGTAATATTAAACTATAAAAAGGTTTCATATTTACACTACAAAATGGGTCTTATATTTAGGATCGGAAGAATAATACATAAACATGCCGGTCAAGGACTTCCATTCACTTGCTTCATATCTGAGGGTAGCTCTTCATGGCATTTTTCAGGAAGGACTTGACAATGTAATTGAAAGGCTATTAGGTGAGGCACTCAATATCGACATTAATGACTTTACCAAGTCAAAAACTTGAGGACACTTGTTTTTTTTTAAATGTCTCTGTTCCTTTTCAAATCTGATAATTTTGCTTGTATGATCATACATTCTATCACCATGATTTTCTCCCAATCCTGAAATCGATTCCTTGAAGTGGAGAGATTTTGTGAATCCAAATCCTGAAATGGATTCCTTGAAGTGGAGAGATTTTGTGAAGTTGTCAATAGAAGAAGAGTGTGTGTGCGTTTCTATTGTCATGGATATTGATGAAAATTGATTGTTAGATAACTAAAATTTTGATTTATGATTGTTTGTTGCAGAATCTTATTACATGTTTTGAAAAATTGTGTGCAAATAGATTAAGAATAGATTGCAAAACTCGTTATAAAAATTATCATTTTTATTTCACAAGTTGTTATTTACGTTACATATTCAATAAAACTGTATGTTTAAAAAACGGATTAAGAATGATTTTAAATAAACAAGTCGCAAATCTCATTAAACAAGTGATAAATTTCACTACGCAAGTTGTTAATCCCATTAACATGCTTAATAAAATTTGTGTGTAAATGGATTAAGAACAAATTGTAAAACTCGTTACAAGAACTGACACTTTCATTTCACAAGTTGTTATTCACATTACATGTTTAGTAAAATTATAAGTAAATGGAATAAAAATGGTTTCAAGTAAACAAGTTGCAAATTCTCTGAAAATAGGTTACAAATCCCATTAACCAAATAGTAAATTTCACTAAGTAAGTTATGAATCTCATTACATATTTAGTAAAATTTGTTTGTAAATAGATTAAGAACAAGTTATAAAACTCATTATGAGAACTATCACTTTTATTCAGCAAGTTGTTATTTATGTTGTATGTTTAGTAAAATTGTGAGCGAATAGATTAAAAATAATTTCAAATAGACAAATTGCAAATTTCTTGAAAAAAATGTTGTAAATCCCATTAAACAAGTGGTAAATTTCACTACACAAGTTATGAATCTCATTACATGTTTGGTAAAATTTTGAGCAAATGGATCAAGAACAAGTTGCAAAACTTGTTCAACTTGTTATGAGAACTAGTACTTTCATTTCACAAGTTGTTATCCACGTTATATGTTTAGTAAAATTGTAAGCGAATAGATTAAAAACAATTCCAAATAAACAAATTACAAATATCCTAAAAGCATATTAAAAATCTCCTAAAAACAGGTTGCAAATTTCATTAAGCAAATGCTAATTTTCACTACACAGGTTGTGAATCCTCGTACATGCTTAGTAAAATTGTGCGCAGATAGATAAAAAATAGTTGCAAATAATTGCGCAATAACAGTGATTAAGTATGTATTTGTAAATAAATTCCATATACAACTATAAGTCAAATATCATAATAATAGTTAGACGATATATATCAATTTTCATCAATATACATGACATTTGAAATGCGTACACACTCTTCTTCCATTGACAACTTCATCATAGGATTTCACAACTGGACTATTGATTTTAACAACACTAACCATAATATTTGCACATAATCCTCACAGCCATGTAATCGCTTGCCACCATTTTTTTATTTCGATATGCCAATCTTTCATCCTCATCAAATATTCAATCAAAACCCTCCTCACCAATAAACCTATCCCTCTTTAACGATGAAAAAGCCACAAAAATGAAGAACTCAAATCCCATTATCAACTTCTACTCACTTATATAATACTGCATGTTCACTCCTTCTCATCTTTCAAACCCACTTACTCACAAGCAAAACCCATCCAAATGAAAAATGTTTAAAATGATGATTGTCAAAGAGTAAGATAATAGTATTTTGAAAGGTAAATGACTCACTTTCTTCTTTCCAGCATTAAGCGTGTTGCTCCAAGCTTTTTTTTTTTGTTTTCAAGTTTTCATTCTTTATGCGTTGCTTCAACATCTTGCTGTGAGTATTTTCATATTCAGCAGTTTTTTCTCTTGCTTTATGAGTATTGTAGTTACTTTAGCACCACACGAAAAATCTTATATTTATACCTCATGATTATTTGGACATTTTACTTTGGGAAAATTGCAAATAAAGACCCCTGAATATATAAAATAGCAATCAGGGACCCTGAATTTGAGAAATTGCTCACAAGGACCCGGTCCCAATTTGCAATTATGAAATCATGGCCAAATTACCAAAATACCCCTCTTTAATTTTTTTTTCAAAAAAGAACACCACTGCCTCACCGGAATCCGGCCGCCGGCGCCGGAGCTCCGCCACCTCAGCCGCCGGCTGCCGGAGCTCCGCCACCTCGGCCGCCGGAGCTCCGATGCCGGCGGCCGGATTCAGGTGGCCTTCCTTTATTTTTTTTTTTGAAACTGTTTTTTTTTTTTAAATTGGGGGGAAGTGAGGTTGGGGGGATTTGATCCCCCAACCTCATGCTTCCCAAAATTAGGAATGACCATTGAGCCAACAAATTTTTGCTAACATTATAATACAAAAAAATATAAGTTAACTCATTTACTCTTATTCCAGGTGATAACAAGAATACATTTGAAAATAACAAGTTCTGATTATAAAATAACAAGTCTGGGATTAAAATTTAACAACACGTTTTTTTTTATAACAACACACTCTGTTGCAGGTGATAACAACAATACATTTGAAAATAACAAGTTCTGATTATAAAATAACAAGTCTGGGATTAAAATTTAACAACACGTTTTTTTATAACAATACACTCTTTTTTAGGTGATAACAAGAATACATTTGAAATAACAAGTTCTGATTATAAAATAACAAGTCTGGGATTAAAATTTAACAACACATTTTTTTATAATATTTTTAACAACTCATTATAATATTTTTATATTATTTCATTCTTTAAATATTAAAATTTATTATTAAGTATTTAAATATTATAGTATAATTTATTATTTCATTCTTTAAATATTAAAAATAGTTTTTATATTTAAAGAAAAAATAGTATTTTTAATTATAAATTAGAGATAAATTTCATTTATAAATTTAAGCAATCAAAAAGTATTTTTAATCTACAATAAATTATACTATTTATAATTTATAAGAAGTAGTTTGATTTATAATGAGTTGTATAGATATATAGATTAAAAAATTTTTAAAAAAAATTAAAAAAGTGTGTTGTCATTTTCCCTAAATTTTATTTATAAATTTGAACAATAAAAAAGTATTTTTAATCTATAATAAATTACACTTCAAGTTTTGATTATAAATTGGAGATAAAAATTATTTTTTTAGCAAATTAAATAGATTTAAAATACTTTTTATAAGTTATAAATAATTTATTTTTCAAAAGTATAAAATAATTAATTGTTATAAAAAAATGTGTTGTTAAATTTTAATCCCAGACTTGTTATTTTATAATCAGAACTTGTTATTTTCAAATGTATTGTTGTTATCACCTGAAAAGAGTGTATTGTTATAAAAAAAACGTGTTGTTAAATTTTAATCCCAGACTTGTTATTTTCAAATGTATTGTTGTTATCACCTGCAACAGAGTGTGTTGTTATAAAAAAAAACGTGTTGTTAAATTTTAATCCCAGACTTGTTATTTTATAATCAGAACTTGTTATTTTCAAATGTATTGTTGTTATCACCTGCAACAGAGTGTGTTGTTATAAAAAAAACGTGTTGTTAAATTTTAATCCCAGACTTGTTATTTTATAATCAGAACTTGTTATTTTCAAATGTATTCTTGTTATCACCTGGAACAAGAGTAAATGAGTTAACTTATTTTTTTTTTTTGTATTATAATGTTAGCAAAAATTTGTTGGCTCAATGGTCATTCCTAATTTTGGGAAGCATGAGGTTGGGGGATCAAATCCCCCCAACCTCACTTCCCCCCAATTTAAAAAAAAAACAGTTTCAAAAAAAAAAAATAAAGGAATGCCACCGGAATCCGGCGGCCGGCATCGGAGCTCCGGCGGCCGGAACTCCGGCGAGGCAGTAGTTTTCTTTTTTGAAAAAAAAAAATTAAAGAGGGGTATTTTGGTAATTTGGCCATGATTTCATAATTACAAATTGGGACCGGGTCCTTGTGAGCAATTTTTCAAATTCAGGGTCCTTGATTGCTATTTTATATATTCAGGGGTCTTTATTTGCAATTTTCCCTTTTACTTTTTATTTAGATTCTTTTTTGGTCTTTTTAATTTTTATAAGGTATGTTATGATGATGTTCCCGCGCTTTTAGTACACTTTTCAGCTTCCGAGGCGCATCCCGGTTGCCTTTTTCCAATGTGCATGTTTCATCGTATCCAAGATGAACTCCTTCTTTTGTCCATTGGATATTACGTCTCATAGAACATCTTGCATTTTTCTACGTTTTGTTTTTCCTTTGCCAACCGTCAGCATCGGCTCGCCCTAGCGCAAGCTCCTTCAGTCGGCTGCTCACCTTTGAACTTCTGAGCTTCTCGCCGGATCCTCAGGTTACTCCTCTTTTATTCTTTTCATTTGTTTCTTTCTTCCCTTCTCATCTCTATCTCTATCTCTATCTCTATCTCTATCTTCCTCCTAGTTTATTCTTTTCCTTCCCTTCTTTCTCCTTGGCTGTGTGCACTCTCCCATTTGCCCTCGCAGCGACACCCTCACTCTTCATGTCTCTCTTAGTCTTTCGACGAACAACGGGGCATCTTGAATTTCCTCTTTCGACTCTCAGCTTCTCGCCTCTCTCCGTCTCTTGTTTGAGCCACATAACATGGAGTCTCGTCTGAGCCCCATTGAGTCACCGACGACGTCTCGTTCTCATCACTCTTGTCTCAGCCCCTCCAACGACGGCCATTATTGCAGGTAATGACTTAACGACTTCAGAACTTCTGGGTGAGCAAATATGCAAAAGCATTTTCCGTTCTGTTTATTCTCTTAGCGAGCAAATGTGCAAATGCTTTTTTCATTCTGTTTATTTCCTTTGATTCCTCGAGTGAATACGTTGGAAATATTGAATGAATTTTCTCGGGTACGTATTTTTCTGTCTCTGTTTATGCTGGCCTTGTTAAACTCTGTTAGCTTGCTGGTAAAAATGATATGCCTCTTGTGGAATCAAAAATCATCACCGTTATCTTCTAGTTTTTTAATAGAAGGAAAAAGAAGCAAGAAATGTACACTGCAACTCTCTTTTTCTTACTAATTTAGTTTCCACCTCGCATTGATGGGAAGAATTTAATAGCTTCGGGTTTCAAGGGTGTCACTCTCTGTTAGCGAGAAGGAAAACAAAACGGGGATCAATTTATTCATTAAACATCATGAAAGAATGATCATTTGATATATATTTGTCCGGGTTTTGTTTTGTTTCTCTTTTCAATTATGACATAATACGTGTTATGATTTCTCACATGCCGTTTTTTGAAGATATTGATCAGCTTTATATTGTAAATTTCAGATTTGGGTCTATCAACATGACATGTTCAGTAGTAAGCAGTGATAATCTTTCTTCTGTAATGAGGCAATCTCAGGTTGGAAATGCATCAAAAGAGAAGAATGTGCATGAAAATGCCTCAGATAAACCTCAAATCATGACAAGTGCAGAAGTAAGCTTTAGAAAGAAAAGAAAAAGGAAGAGGAGGCCAAAGAAAGGACATGGTGCTACTGAAAGCAATGATAATCTTTCTGCCGTGCCAAAAGATGCTTTTTTAACTGAAACCTGTACTGCTGCTTTAGCTGTGCCTGCAATGCATCCAGATGAACACTCTCTGAATTCTGTAATGAGGCAATCTCAGGTTGACAATGCATCAAAAAAGAAGAACGTGCATAGAAAGAAAAGATGGAAGAAGATATGGAAGAAGATGCGAAAGAAAGGACATGATGCTACGGAAAGCAATCATAATCTATCTGCTGTACTGAGTAATGATAATTTTTCTGCTATACCAAAAGAGAAGAATGTGCTTGAAAATTCCTTGGAGAAATCTAAGATTATGACAAGTGCAGAAGTAAGAGTTGGAAAGAAAAGAAGTAAGAAGAGGAGAAAAAAAGCACGCGATGCTACTAAAAGAAATGATAATCTCTCTGCTGTTCAAAAAGATGCCTTCTCAACTGAAACATCTACAAGTGCTTTGGCTCTGCCGCCAACTCATCTTGATAAACACTCTCTGAATTCTGTAATGAGGCAAGCTCTAGTTGAAAATGCATCAAAAAAGAAGAAAGTGAAGAATAGAGGTAAGAGGAGGCGGAAGAAACGACATGATGCTAGCGAAAACAACAATCTTTCTGCTATTCCAAAAGGCACATTGTCAGTTGAAACTTCTACAGTTGCTATGGTTATGCCTCCATCACATCCATTTCAACACCCTGTGGATCCAATAATTGGGCAATTTCTGGGTGAAAATGAAAGAAAGGAGTTTCCTGATTCCAACTATCAAAGTGACTCTCTACCAAACCTCACTAGTGTGTTACCGAGCCACTATGTCTCTCTTGAGCAAACCCCAGTCAATGCCATTAATTACATTTTTGAAGAACCCCAAGGTAAGTGAACATTTAGCGCAATATGTTTTTTCTCCTTTCCTTTACTTGAGTTTATTGGTATTCTAATTTGCAGTGAAGGCAGTTGATACTGAGGCTCAGCAAATTGAGACAGTGTCTAGTCCGGTTGATGCTTTACTAGCTAGCCAATTTAATCATGACCCAGTCAAGGAGCCTCTACAACAACTACAGCAATTACCTTCTGTAGAGCTTCTTGCTTTTAACCTGGGCACTTCCGGAGAGTTGCTATACTCTTCCCAGCAAGTTGAGCCAGTCTGTCGGTCAAATAATGAAGCTTCTCTGTATGGCCCTGTTAACCCTGCACTAATGGAGGTTACAAATCCTGCTGTTGTTCATCCGGCCTCAATTTTTGAACTTGATTCGTGTAGACCCCTTGCTGCATTCAAAACACAATTATTAGACCCAACTCCTTCAGAGATCAATAATCATCTCACACAAATTGTAACCCAATCAATGGACAGGATGCATTCAGCTCTAGTCGCTGATCCATTAAAGAATGAGTTGGACAGATTACTTGGAGAATCAGAGCAAACCATGAAACACCATAAAGAGACGGTTAGTTTCTGTTGCGCATAAACGGTTTTGCCTTGGCCATGCATGGTCTATGTTATTCTATCTTTACCTCTTCACTTCTTTTAATGTAACTATTTCTGTTACTTGGGCAGAAATTGCGGCTCAAATCTGATGGTGAGAGAGAAATTGAGGAAGTTCACAGGAAGTATGATATCAAGTTACAGGAGAATGAGCTTGAGTTTCAACAAAGAAAGAAGAACCTGGATACACGTCTAAGCTTAGTTCTCATGAACAAGTTATGGGCAGAGGCTTTTAGTTCTAAATGCATGGATCTTGAAGTATTTGGGGTACCAGAGATTCAGCAAGGTATATTACTTTATTAGGAAATGTTGAAACTTTAGTTCATTTTATATTTGGTACCATGGCCTTGGGGCCAAAACGATTTTGCATCAGCTATGGTCTCACTTGATTTGGAGGTTGAATGTATGTGGTCTTTTATGAGCAGCATTAACTCTTAAATTTCAGCAAAGTTTATGATGAGTTCTCAGTTTTTAGTGAGATTTAAGTGTTATAGGGAATGGTTGGAATGTTAGCCTCGCCTTGATATGCCAGTTGACATAGAAGTGCTAACAAGAATAGGGATGTAGACAAATGGAAGGAAGGAGGAGGGAAAGAGGCGATAACAAGCCAAGAGAACTTTATTAATTGTTACTCTGACTTTAATCACTAAAGGCTTCATGTAGAACTCGAGGTAAATCCTAAGATGATCAATTAGTAAGATCATTTACAAAATGAAAATTTAGGTGGACAAAACGAAAATAAAATACAAAATAAAATCAGTTACATCATTTTTAAGGTTTATTCTTAATACCTAATTTTCTCTTCCATTTCTCCATTAATGTGCTTGCTTTTGAAACCATGTCCATAGTACCAGGAATGTGCGCACACATCATATATATGGATGCTTGTAGTACTGATTTTCCTATGATTTTTCCTGACCATTTTTTTTAATCATCAGACTCAAGTTTTAAACAGCAAAGTGATACAAGGCCTTCTTCTACCCTTGCTGCAAGTCCACCTCATGGGCCTCCTGCATCTAACCCGCAACATTTCGCCACTGCTGCTATCTCTCAGACCATGGTGCCACCTCCTGCATCCAGCATGCAGACATTCTCTGCTCCAGCAAGCTCACAGATTTTGGTGACACCTGTGCCTACTGCGGCTAGCTCTTCACCGTTGGTGCCACCTTTGCCCACTACAACTCGCTTACAGACCATGGCGCCCCCTCAACTGGCTGCTTACAATGCACCTCCAAGGCCACCCTGCAACAACTCCATTCCTCCATCGGCAAACCATCAAGCTGGTACAGGGTTATGCGCCACTCCGCACCATCTCTAGCCTTATAGACCCTCGACATCTTTGCCTAATTCTTGCCTAATTCTTGTCTCCCTGCTCCTGCACGTGACGTGTGGAGTAAACAAGCTCCTAATAGCATTCCTACAATGACCTCATTACCTAACTATGCTCGACCCACACTTCCAACCAATATATCTTATCCTCATAATAGGGTTCAACGGCCGGAAATTCCTTCAAGGTTACCCAGGCCTAGCTTCTCAGCCAGGGAGCCAAAAGAAGGATGGTAGTTGTCAAGTGGGCATGAATCTGCCAAATACTCTGTTATGTTCATCAAATGTGACATCATTGCAACAATCTCGAATTTGGCCCCCCTAGTAGCATGCGGGATGATTCTGTTCAGACAAGCCTGTTTGTCAGATTAGGACTAACTAATTAGAAAGGATTTGGTTTTCAGCTATTTTGTCCTGACACGATATATAGCCGGCTGTAAATTCTGCTTTAGTTGTGTTTGAGGCCGCTGATTCTGGGTGGCTATTGATGTGTGCTGTAAGGCCGTTATATTAACTTTTGATGAAAATGTACAAATGTGTAATTGATTGCCTTGGTAAATGAAAAATCCAAAAGTAATTGTCTTGGATCTGGTTCTTGGGGTTGCTTGAGCATGATGTGGAGCATGGTGGAAGCAGCTAGATCGTAGGGCCCTCCATTTGCTGTAGGTGTGTCCGTGGAAGTAGACAATTTCTATTTTCATTTAAACATCTACTTGCATCCTGTTTTCCCGGCTCTTGAAGAAAGGGAGCTTGAAAGTTCGTTTGCTATGTATATATGAAATCGGATATAATTTTTTTATTTGATATTAGTCATGACCGATCATATTGAAAGATCATACAAGTGGTATGAGAGCTCAACACATCAAGATGATTAGGAATTGTGAGTTAAACATGTTATTATAGAAAACCTTTTTGATATACAATATTGTTGGTCTTGTTTGTAGGTTTGCTATTGTTTGGATCATAAAAATATCTTAAATATCAAATTTTTTGAAAGAATTTTTTGTCAAAATGATTGTAGAAAAATAATTTTTTGTTGTGCTTAACATCATTTGCATTAATTAAAAAAAAAATCATCAACCCAATGTGCATAAAATATGCAAGTTCCTTCATTAAATTATAGGCTCATAAAATCAGTTTATAATATATAGTATAAAAACAGAAGTTAATATTATTAATTTACACAGTCCATTGATTGAGCTCTAGCCCTTTTTTCATTACATATGCTCACTGTCAAACAATTCATTGGGCATATCTTTCAAACATCAATGCCCAATATGGCTTGGTTGTTTCTCAATCCAGTTCAATCTCTCTTCCTTCTCGGATTTGAAGGTATGGCTAAAAAATACTTTAAGCCAACTTCAAAAGGATAAAGAGGCATCTCTTATACAGGGCATAATTATTGTTATCAATGTTATTCGGGCAAATTGCAACTGGGCATTGCATCATGGCCAAATCATTTATCCTTCAAAAGTTATCGGGGAAAATTTGGGAATGCTTTCATTTACTGCTCTCCATGAAAAGAGGTTCAAGGATGTTCGATCAAAGGTCGCCTCTGAGCATATTACTCAAGCTGAAAAGAAGATCCTTGAACCTCTTTTGATGGACTGATTATCATTCTTCTCAAGCTGAAAAGATGGAAAGGCAACAATGGCTTTCAAGCCATCACATGTTTTGAGGGTTCAATAGTTCATCAATTCATTTGGAGGAAAACTAAGTCAGCAAGTACCTCTTTCTCTTATCAATGCCTCAGAACATCTCTTCTTTGGATTCGAAGATATATATCATAGCTATCCTTGACCAAGGACGCATTGCAGATTTGGTGTATGAACAAGACATGAATCTCTTTGGCCACTCTTCAATCAGTTCACATCAATGTGATCATATGGGATATTCAAGACCTCCTTAAAATTTTCTCTCTTTCAAAATTTGCAATCCTATTCCTAGTTCTTTAACAAGACTTAATTTGTTGCATTTTGGTTCTGTTTCCTTTATTTCTCTGTAAGACTTGATAATGTTTTTTTTTTTGGGCCAAAGTAGGACTTGATAATGTTAATAATATCTTTTTGTTCTTTTAAAAAAAAGTAATTTAATTTCAATATTTTGTATAGCTATTTCATTTTATATATTTTTCCTATACTTTCTCTCCCTGTTTTTTTTCCTAAATTTATGGATGTCTGTATGTTCTCAAAAACTGAATTGATTTATTTTTTAAAAAATTATGTGTATATATATATATATATCTATATTATTTTATTTGAATTATTTCCTGTTCACTATTCTACTATCTTTAAGCCTCGTTTCTTTATATAATTAATAACCAGTCCACTAACCATGCAAGATATGTTTATCTATATGCAGAATACAATATCAGAAGAAAATAAAATGGTTAATAACTTGAAAATCACATATTTGATTCAATAATTACATAGTGAATATAATTGCATAGGGAAAAGATGATGCTTTCTTCTACATTATATAAGTAGATTGTGTGATAATCACATCAGATAATCTCATAGTCAAATTACAACATAATATCAAGAATAAAACATCTATAAGTTTTCAAAATTATATTATACATATATATACCCACAAATTCATTATCAACATATATGTATATAAATTCCAAACTAAAGTTTTCAATAAATTCAAATAATTCAACCAATCAATTCAAATAATGCAACCTATAAATTCAAATAAAAAATAGCAAAAAGCTCTATTGACCACTAGGGTTCATGGTTGAGGCTGGGTAGATCATGATCCATATCCAATGCCAGCCCAAAGGATGAGTGAGCTATATTTTGCAACCCGTTGCTTGGTCCTGCCTAATAAAAACCCTTGTCATTTTGGGTTAGGCTAATGTAGGCTGGGTTAGGTAGGCTTTTCTTGTCCAAGTATTGACATCTTGTTCATACTATATGTGAAAAAAAAATCCCTAATTTAAATAAACTCTATTACTTTTATTGCTTTAATTGACAAAGAAAGATCAAATGGTGCTTCAGCTCAAACTTTACGGGTGAGGTAAGAGTTCCTCAACTAGGATTTGTGTGAATGATAATAAAATATAATATATATCATTTTTTGAAAATATAATATAATAAAATCAATATCAACGCATAAAAGCTATCAAAATCAAACCAATAGAAAGCATGAAATTTCGCGTTTCCTGCGTATTCCATTTCATATTCATATCAGTTTCAAAAATCATAATTTTATAATTTATTAATATTATAGTATAAAATAGATATAATCATATATATAGTTGGCAAAAAAAAATTATATATGTATTTTTTTGGGTAGGGCAGTATGTCGTGCGCAATGCTCGACCCTGCTCCTAATTAGTTCGGCCTGATAATGCTCATCTTTTTTTCAGACTGCCTTTCTATGGGCTGGGCAAGACATTTATTTTTCATAACCAAGCATCATGAATACTCCTATTGAACACCATGCGAAACAGAGGACCTTTTATTATTGTTCTTATTTCCTACATTCAATTGACTTGTCCATGGATTCACTCCCAAAGGTTGGAGAAAATTGAAGTGACCTAACGGTAAATAATTGTAATTTTAGATTATCATTATTTTTGTATGTGGCGCTGGTTATAGTAATTTTTGTTTCTTTTTCTTTTAAGTGACTTTCAAAATGTTGATTACGTTTGAATTTCATTTATTAAATCACTTATAGATATATAATTAACAAAAATGGTGTAGCTTTTATAAGTTGTTTACATTTAATAATTATTTTCATAATTATAATCATTTAATAAATTGTTTACATATTTATAATTATTATTTAATAATTATTATTAATGAGGGCAGATAGGAGAAGCGTCCTTTGTTGAATCTTTATTGGGATTTTTTAATCGCAAAAGCAGCTCTTAGTTGCTAATGCTGAATCGTATGATAAGGATTAAAATCATAATTTATTGGGATTTCAAAAAATCTAGTCAAAATAGGATGACTTCATAATAATTTATTTGGATTCAAATAGGTTTATTTGCCCTCACCACTTAAGCCAACAACTACTAAATCATGAGATATTAGTCCTATATACGGTATATAGTATCTCGTGCAAAAAAAAGTCATATATGAAGATTTAAATATGTTGCAATAAGTTGAAAGGATATTTTTAAATTTAAACAGAATTTTCGCTATTGTGAAATGAATCAATACAATCAAATTTTGATCCTCTGACCCCAAACGAAAAAAATCAGAACATGCTACATATAACGCGAGAAAACTGCTCTTCACGGGTGTAGAAGAATATATAATCGGTTCTCTTCTAGTTCTCATGGCACATCATCTAACTATAAATCCTGTGAACTCCTATTTAGGTGATTCCAACCTCACTTTACTATCACGCTTGGCTACCAAACGTTCCAATGTTGAGCAGATTGTTGTCTGAAATTAAATTCCAAGGAATAAATATAAAAAAATAGCAAAAAGCTACATCGAACACCCTTTCTTATTCTATATCTAAAGGGGGAAAAAAAACTACAGCTGATACTATCTGAATTACATAACTATATCATCTCACGCCACACCATCTTTCCCAGTAGAGGGATCTGCTCAAACACACACCAAAAGAAACAGTGAAATGGAACCTTTTAAAATTTGAATCCTCAGGCTTAGTCAACCTCTTCAATCTTAGGCCCAGCGCCGGAGCCTGCAGAGCCGCTGCTGGCGCCACCACCGGGCATCTCAGCACCACCACCCATAGGCGTGTCTCCGCCAGCAGCACCACCTTGGTACATCTTGGCAATGATGGGGTTGCACAATCCTTCGAGCTCCTTCAACTTGTCCTCCAACTCATCAACCTCAGCCAACTGGTTCCTATCAAGCCACTCCATTGTCTCATCAATGGCCTTCTCAATCTTCTGTTTATCCGAAGGATCAAGCTTCCCTCCAACCTTATCGTCCTTGATCGTGTTCCTCATACTGTAAGCATAATTCTCCAATGAATTCTTAGCTTCCACCTTCTTCTTCACCTGCTCATCCTCTGATTTATACTTCTCTGCCTCT